AAATCTGAACCCAGTTTTTTCTTGTGTATTCTGTTTTTTCCGTTCTTCTTCTTCTTTTCTGTTTCTCTTTTTCTTTTTCCTTTGTTTTATAGTTTTCTTTCTTCCTTTTTCTTCTTCTTTTCGTTTTTAGTTATTTCTGATTCTTTTTTCTTTTTTCGATTTTTCTGTTTGTTTTCTTTCTTTGGGTTTTTATTTATTTTTCCTTTCCGTTTCTTCATTTTTTTATCAAAAGAATTTCAAAATATTCAAATTTTGTTCGTGTTTCCATAAAATGTTGGTTTCAAAAGAAGTTCTCAAGATTCAAACATTGTTCTCGTTACACAAATAGTTGAAAAGTTTCAAAATGCAAAATGTACCGAATTTCAATTTTTCGTTCACGTTTTCCTAAAATGTTCGCGCTTCCAAATTTGTTCGGGATTTTTCAAAATTGTTCTCCATTTCAAAATTTGTTCTCAAGATTAGAAAAATGTTCGTCCTTTAAAAATATGTTCGCGCTTCCAATTTTGCTCGGGATTTTTCAAAATTGTTCTCCATTTTAAAATTAGTTCTCAAGATTAAAAAATGTTCGTGCTTTAAAAAATTATTCGCACTCCCAAATTGTTTCCCCGTTTCAAAATTTGTTCTCAAGATTCAAAAGATGTTCGCGCTTCCCAATTTGTTCTCCGTTTCAAAATTTGTTCTCAAGATTCAAAAAATGTTCATTCTTTAAAATTTGTTCTCTGTTTCAGAAAATGTTTGAAACATTTCAAAAAATATTTGTCATTTTAAAAAAACATGTTTACAAATTTGTTTTTGTTTCTCGAAAATCTTCTGAAATTTTAAAAACTGCGTGTAATTCTAATTCTTTTTATGTAATTCAAACACTATTTCGAAATCTGAAATTTTCCAAAGAATTGCTCGTGTTTTCTAAAATGTGTGCAACAATTGAAAAATCTGTACGCTACAGCAAATATGATCCTGCAAATCTGTACATACAGCGCAGTATATTAAAAGTGATGCGCGCAGGTAATTACCACGAGCTCCCAGTTGGTGTGGTGTCTAGCATCTCGCGTAATCAACTGTCTGGCGTGAGTTCGATCCCTAGCCGCTGCACTTTTACTTCTTTTTGGGGATTTTTTTGCGCTATACATGGGCCGGCCCAGTCGGAGCACTCCTGTGCGGGCGGCCGACTGTTTGCCACAACGAGCGGTGCACAGGAGCTCCCAAAATACATGTGTTAGCTGTGATTCGAACCACAGACCTCGCACACGTAGTACCGTGGGTGCAACCACCACGCCAACATACCTGATTTTTTTTAGAATGAACTTTTACTTTCTTTTACCTTTTCCTTTTTTACCTGTTCCTTTTTTCCTTTTTTCCTTTTTCGTTTTTTGTTTTTTCCTTTTTCTTCTTCCGAGTTTGATGAATTTTTTTTCAAATCGATGAACGTTTTTTAGATTTGTGAACTTTTTTTAAAATTCGATGAACTTTTATTCAAATCCTAAGAACTTTTTTTGAATCTGATGAACTGTTTTCAAAATCGATGAACTTTTTTTCAAAATTCGATGAACTTTTTTCAAATCCGATGAACTTTTTCAAAATTTGATGATTTTTTTTCAAATTCGATTAACTTTTTTCGAATTTGATGAACTTTTTTCACAACCGATGAACTTTTTTTGATTTCGATGAACTTTTTTCGAATCTGATGAACTTTTTTTGAATTCGATGAACTTTTTTCGAATCCGTTGAACTTTCTTCGAATTCAGTGAACTTTTTTCGAATTCAATGAACTTTTTTTGAAAATCGATGAACCTTTTTCATTTTTTTTGAAACTTTTCTTAAAATTTTGATGATTTTTTTTGAATTCACGTTTTCTTTTTTGAGATAATTCATATTGAGTATATATTAATGTTTTACTGCACGGAATGGTTTAACTAGAACTGTTTTCTAGTAGTAGATAATAAAGATAGTTTGGTCTAGTGGTTATTGAGGTGCACCTGCAACAATCCGGTCCTGAGTTCGAATCCCCAGTGATCCTCACTTTTTGTTGCTTTTTCACTTCAACAGCGAATCCAGTCCTGAGTGCAAGCGCGCGTTGGGCCGGCCCATGTCAGCGACGCTGCAGGCGCCAGCTCGTTAACGGGCGCCTGCAGCGCTGACTAGGAGGTCCCCTATTTTAGGCAACTAGGCGGACTTGGCTGGGAGACATTGAATCGGGCCAATTCAGTGCACTATTTGGCTTTTTCAACCCCTTTTTAAGTAGATTTTTTCTGACTCAAACCCAAGTGTTCCATTACGGTCTGCCACCATTGCTAGTATCCTATGATAACCTTTATCATATGCCAGGACCACAAAACATATATCGCCCTTATAGCGAGTGATCCTTCAGTCATGCTTGAAGCTTTTTTTTCTCGCACGAGATAGACGGGCCGGCCCGTTTGTTTCTTTTATTTGTGAGTCGCTCTAGGTTCAACGATCGTTGGTTGTAGCATAGCGTGCCGTGGACGTACAGGTTTGGTTTGGTTCATTTTTTTCCTTTATGCCTTCTTTTAGTTTTTTCTATTTCTTCATCCTGTTTTTTTCCTATGTTTCTTAGTTTTTTCATCTGTTTCTTCATTAATTTCAAGGTTTTCACCCTTGTTTTCTTTTCCTTTTCATTTTCATTTGTTTCTTTCTTGGTTTTTGCTGGGTTTTTTTCTTTTCTGTCTTCATTTTCTTTCGTTTCTTTCATCGGTTTTCTTTGTTTCTTCTTGGCTTTCTCTATTTCCATTCTTTTGAAATGGTTCTCTTTGGTTTTCATTTTTTCTTGGTTTATTTATTTTTCCTTTAGTTCTTATTTAGTTTGTTTGTTGATTTTCACCAGTTTCTTTTTTGTTCGACACATGTCAATTTTTTCAGTACAAATTCAACATTTTTCGTATACGTCCAAAGCATATTTTATATACATTTTTAACATTTTAAAATATATTATATACTTTTTTGAAAAAAATATGTGTCCCTTCTTCCATACACATGGTCCTATTTTTGCATATATCTAATACAATTTTTAAGAAAAAAAATAACATATTTAATATACAAGATTTAAAAAAATTGGAAAACATTCTCAACATTATAAATATATGGTTATCAGTTTTTAATCAAAATAAACATTTTTTCGCATAGAATGTAAATTTTACATATACATTAGGAACATTTGTATGTATATGTTTAATAGTTTTTTTATTATAGTATTGTCTTTTTTATAATTTCGACTTTTTATGTATACTTTAACTAATGTCAATTGTAAATTTTTCCTATACATCGGGAACATCTTTTATAGACGTTTACGATATTTTTATATACATGATCAACATTTTTACATACACATTTAACATTTTTCCTGTATTTTTTAAATATTTTTATATGTATGACAAATATTTTTCTATAAACATTTAGCATTTTCCAAGTGCTTGGTTAACATTTTACAGTGCCTCCATAATTCATGCCCTTAGAGTTCCTTAGCCGAATGTATCTAATATGGCCTCTCAAACACACGTGGACGTGCCCGGACCTGTCCGCGGGCACTGACTGTGCACCTCTTATTTCGTTGCTTACACAACTGTGTCTCTCATATCCAAATCCTCAAATCCATGCAACAAATGCAATGCTACGTAGATGAATAACATGAACACGCTTGATAGCAACAAAGGAAGGAATTTCACATACTACTAGCAACTACATTAGTTATCTCACACAAAAGGCTCAATGCTCATCACCGAACAACGCAAATTCATACTTCAAAACTACTAAAATATAGATAAAACGGAGAATGGTAGAGGAAATCACCTTTTCCTCGCTGGACCCTTCCCTTTTGCGGTTGTCGGTGTGGTTGGACCCCTCCGTGTAGGCATCCGCAGCCAAACGAACATCCCTGTTGTTGTCACTGGTTTCGCCGCCGCTGTCCGAGGCCTCACTAGAGGAGATTTTGCTGATTGTCAACCTCCGTACAACGCACTCCTACACCTGGGCCAGCTGGAGTGCCCTTGCCTTGGCCGCCGACTACGGCGTCCCCTTGCGCTAGCTGGAGCACTTTGGCTTTTTTGCGCCGGAGCTGCCGCATGTTGGTCTTTGCCGATGTGAGGGAGCATCGCAGGACAGACACGAGAAGCGCGTCCTCCGGGATCCACTAGCGCACGCTTGCCCGACGCGATGCCAGCGCCTCCCCCGCTGACTCTCTCTCTCTCTCTCTCTCTCTCTCTCTCTCTCTCTCGCGCGCGCGCGCCCGTTGTTGTTCGCAGCGGGCGGCCCACGCCTTAGATTCAGGCGTCCTCGTCCGCGGAGGTGTCAACGAGGGCACGAGTACCCAGCGGTGGCAGGGGACGCCCTCTGTCATTGGTACAGTAGGATTGAAGACAAATTTATGATTTTGAAAGGGCAAACAATACACACACCACTAACAATCCACGTAATTGTCCTTTTTTAGCTCATATGATAACCTTTTTCATCATGTGACTTTGCACGCACGCACGTACTCCCTCCGTTCCTAAATATTTGTCTTTCTAGAGAATTCAAATAGACTACCACATACGGATGTATATAGACATATTTTAGAGTGTAGATTCACTCATTTTGCTCCGTATATAGTCACTTGTTGAAATCTCTAGAAAGACAAATATTTAGGAGCGGAGGGAGTAATACACATCTATATTACCACGTAGAATTTGTTTTACCATTTTTTGTTCATTTCCATATGTGTTAAAATTTGATTGACAAATATTTTTATATATGAGCAACAACAAAAATCAAATAAAATAAGCATATTCTTTCTTATAACACCTCGCAAAAAAATATTCCTTTATAACATTTTGCAGATGATCAGGAAAAATGTTATTTTTATTGACTTCGTCTTATTCCTAGAACGGGCTCCAGGCAACTCGATATCCATTTATGTCTTCCTATGGTGCACACGCTTTATTGCAATACATAACTTATAACGTGCAACTTACATATGCATTATTGCAGCAGGTCCAATGCATAGCGCGCTAGGAGTTCTTTGCCGCCATCCTCATAGCTATGGACACATACCGATCCTTCCTCGTCGCCAACTCGGCAAGCACACGACCCCTCTCCGGAAGGCATTGCCTCACATTGTCGTCAGCCTTGTAGTCCCTCACCCACTTGTACAACAATGGGCGGTCCTCCTCGGTGAGCAGCCTTACCCCGGCCATCTCCTCAAACACTCCTAACCAACGCGCGATCCCGCCCATGGCTATGTCGAGGAAGCCAATAGTATCACCTCCGAAAAACCTCTTCCCCTCCGGCAACTGTCCCTCAAGAAGCTTTAGGTTCTCTGCCGTCTCCCTCGCTGATGAAGCTTGCACTTGACCGTCCGTCCAGAGTGCCATCCATACAGACCTCCAGCACTGCACATATATAAGGCCCGTCTATGTCAGTGTCATCTGAGATTCTCTTTTATGTAAATAATTATTAGAAAATACAATTATAAATATTTGAGTTGGTATTCAGGTGTTCCCTCATTTACTAATACTAGATGCTACCTCGAGCGTTGCCGCGGGAATCAGTTGCAATATATTTCACTGCCATTTGATTGTGTGAAATATAAATATTTAGATTAATAAGACGTGAACCAAAACTAAAAATACATACGACTTAGTATATTTGATTATGTATGTTGACAAAATGTTTATTCAATATAAATAGAATAATAGAATGAAAAATATTTTTTCATGCATGGTTGCAGGTGGTGTCGTCGTGATGGTTATTTTTTCCGATGCATGGTTGCATGTTCAGGTGGGTCTTATCTCATCCATCATTGTCTGATGATTTGGCATGCTTGCAATTAAGATAAATAAATTAGTGGAGATCACTTTCTTAGGTATATAGAATTCGTCGTTTTATCCATGATAAGTGGGGTCATGAAAATCCCACTCTAGTTCTTCGAATCTTAGCGACCAATGATATCCTAGCCTATCGGTTTGGCTGGCCTACCGACCTTGACCCAGTTCGCCTTGCAGACAATAATAGCTAGTACGTCATTTGTTCATGAACCATAATATATGAACTTTTTCACCAAGTTGTATTTTACTATTTAAAAAATTGTAATCATAAATTTTCAATGAGAAAACTCGGTGAAAAACACAATTTCAGTTAGTGAATGCAAATTTTCACCAAGTTGTATTTCACTATTTAAAAAATTGTAATCATAAATTTTCGCTAAAGTAAACATGTATTTACCAGAATTAACTTAGACATCCAAAAAAAATCTCTGGCGACTTAGGCTTAACAAAAGTGAAACATGAACAGAGAAATAGCAACACCACTAAACGAACTTAGTCTTGCCCACTGACCATATGTTTACCCACCTTCTCGTTGACGAAGCGAGCCCAGAAGCGGGCGGAGGCACGGGCGAAGGGGTCGGAGGGGAGGAGCGGCGGGCCATCAAAGGCCTCATCAACATACTCAACAATGACAAGTGACTCGCATACCGCAGGCCGGTCGCCATGGAGGAGCACGGGGACCTTCTTGTGGACGGGGTTGTGCTTCAACAGCAGCTCGCTTTTGTTTGCGAGGTCTTCTTGGATGAACTCGTAGGGGACTCCCTTCAGAAGGAGGGCCACCTCCGCGCGGTGGACCATAGGGGCTGCCGAAGGAGGCGTTGAGCTTCAGCGGTTCAGACATGTTCTAAGAGCATCTCCAACAGACGCTTAATATTAGCGACGCGCCCAAAAAATCGCAAATTTAGCGCGCGCGGAGTTGAAAGTAGCACTCCAGCGAACGCTGCATAATAGAGCACGCTGTAAAAAGCTTTCAGCGCGCCGGACAAAACTGGATCGCAAGCCGTATATTTAGCGCTCGAGCTCCAGCGCGCTGAAATTTTCACGCGCGTGGAAACGGCCACGGCGCTGGCGGGGCCGGGAGGAGCGCAGGCGGCCGGGCAGGGAGCGGGCCACGGAGGCAGCGCGCGGGCGCGACGGGCCGCGGCCACGG